GAACACATTTCTCTGTGGCTCCATAATCTTCTTGATGAGAAAATTTGGAGCACTACTGAGTTACATGTTGTTACAGTACAGGTTCTCCTATGTCCTGAGTCTTCACTGACCTTGAAAGGCCAGGGCCAAAATGTTGGCTAATCATGTGCATATTTTTAAATGAACCAACAATAACTACTTCCAGGGCTGGGAGTACATGGTCCCATCCCCTACACTGAAAAAACAACCTTACATTATATTACTAAACTGCTGTAATAGTCCACCTTAATTCTCTATATCTCTGGCAAATACCTGGGGAAAACACAAAAAGCAAAGATCTTGCGATGCTTACTGAAGACAACGGGTTAAATTTGGAATTACAAAGAGGTGGGCCTAGGGCCAGCCAGAGAGCTCAGTGGATTGAAGCACCTGTTTAGGCAGACATAGGGATCAGGGTGAAACTGAGACTGGGCGTGGTGTTGCACGCCTGTAATCCCAGTGCTTGGGAGGATGAAAACAGGGGGATCACTAGGAGTCCGATCTGTGTAGTGAGATTCTGTAGATCCTGTACCAAATACATTAAAAAAAAGAAGTGGGCCTAAATTCTCAAACAAGTTCAAACAAAACCATTTTCAAAATAAGAAACCAAAGCATTGTTTTGCAAAGCCACACAGACATTAATCTCAGTCCCTGCCTCTGACAGCTTGGTGGCTCTTGGCCACCCAACCTGATTCTTGCTTGCTTGTTCTCTGCCCTGGAGATGAGAAAGCTCCAGTCATTCCTCTGTCCCTGTGGGCAGCTGGGACTCCAGAACATCCCAGTCCTGGCCACTGAGACCCTAAGGGAAGTTGGCAAGGGGTTCTGGGACTCTGTTTCCTGATCAAAGAACAGGATAGAGGGTCCCTGGTCTGTTCCTCACCCTTTCTTTCTGTTTGCGGTGCAGACCCAGAGCTGCAAGTACCATCAACCAAATGTGAGTCACGGGATGAACTGAAAATACCGAGGACAGCTGGATGGAACAGAAAAGAAATTGACTTTAAGAAAATCAACTTAAAAAAGAAAATGAACTAATACCATTTTACTTGTGTGCTTTAAATAATATTCAAAATTATCTTGCTTTGTTTTATCAGCTCCTCTGAACGAAGTTACTTTTTCTATAATTCTTTGCTGGAGAGGTTCTGCAACATTTTTCACCCATTTTTTATATAATATCTCTTTTCTTCTCTTCTTAAAAATATCCAAATGCTGTAGGTATGCATCCAGTCTCTAATGAAGTGATACAAAGAAAGCAAAGTATTAAGAAAATTTCCTTACCTCATCAGACCCAAAAGCTACAACTCTTGTTGCATAGGTCCTGCTTTACCTTGGTCTTAGCCATCCAGCAGAAAGGTATAAAAACAAAGCATAAGAAGTAAAGCCATGCTGTTATGTTGAGCTCTAGGGGACTCAGGTCAACAATTTCTGACATTACCAGTCAAGCAGAAGACCCAATACTATTATGGGCTACTGGACTCTGAGAATATTTTACTGAGTTTACACACCTATAATATTCAAATAACGGAACTCAAAAAAAAGGGGATACAGATGAATGTCCACTTTGTATCTGTGTATTCAAAGTGGTTAGGATAGATATATAGTTACATTCTCTTAATGAATAGAGGGATTTGTTCTAATGGTGTTTGTAAATAGGATATCATGTCCGCATCTTGTACAGCAATTAACCACTAGGAAGAATGTATGCAATGTGTTAATTATTGAAACTGTCCTACCAGTTTGATTTGAAACTGTCTCATTGCTATTTGTTTATCAGTAAAATTATGGGGAAAAAAAGAAATTAAAAAGGAAAAAGAAAAAAAGAAAATTTCCCTAAAAGGCAGCCTTTAAGAGACAGGGAAAGTGTTCAGCCAAATATACTATGATTTATGCATATGCCAATATACCGAAATGATTATCATTATTCTATATCACTACTGTGCACCAATATAAAAAATAAGAAATTTTCCACTCATTGTCTCTGACTAGCGAGGATGGGGGATGACTCGTTCCCACACTTTTGCTCTCAGCCATATTCAGCTGCAAAATTCAGCATACAGAATAAATTGCAAAGACAGCACTTGACAGCACAGTGAGAAGTCCTAGAGAGTTGACAGCACACGTGTCTTCAAATGAAATTGCATCAACTCAGGAACCAGACCAAACAGTTCCTAGTAAATCATCACTTCCTTTTAAGGATTTCAAGGCAGGCCTGGTCTCCTGTTTCGTCTACAGCTACAACAGTAAGGCAGAAAGAGCTCCAGACTTACGTGGATGCCTTTCTGACCTACGAAAAGAAGGCTAATCTCACTATTGCTTTTCCCATGAGAATGTGTGTGCCCTTCCTTTATTTTTTTTTTATTTTTATTTTATTTTTATTTTTATTTTTTTATTTTTTAGTTTTTGGTTTTTTGACCCTTTATAAACTGCAAATCACTACAAATGCCAAAGTATTACTATAACATCAAACTCCTCTCCTATTTACTAAAATTTAAATGTAGTAATCTCAGGGGCTGGAGAGCTGGCTCAGTGGTCTAAAGCACCTACTTGGAACAAGCTCGGCAAAGCACAGGGACCGCGGTTCGATCCTCCAGCACCACATGCCAGCCAGCCGCGCCCCCTGGTGGGCTGAGCTGGCCACACACACACAATAAATAAATGTTAAAAAAAAAAATTAAATAAAATAAAAATAAATGTAGTAATCTCATAGTGACCATCAGTTACTGATTGGTCTTTGTCCTTAAGTATGATTTATTTCTGGTGGGCTGAAATAGCCCCATTGCAATGTGAGATCACAGGTGAAAGAAGAAAGTTGTACTAGGAAAGAACTTCTACTTTTCATGCTAGACCAAGAGGGTCTCTTGGACACAGTGCTAGGGCTCAGATATAGAAATAGACTTTAGGCCTGATGCGGTGGTGCACGCCTATAATCCCAGCACTCAGGGAGGCTGAAGCAAAAGAATCACTGCGCGCTCAAGGCCGTCCTGAGCTACAAAGTGAGTTGAAGTCCAGCCTGAACTACACAGTGAGACCCTGTCCCATACCCAAATAAAACTGGACCTTAAATATCCTTCAGAGGCCCCTGTGTTGGCCTCCAGGTGATGGTGCTACCTGGAGGTGGTGGTCACTTTAACAGGTAGGGCCTAATGGAACTGGGGAGGTCACTGGAGTTGTGCCCCAAAGGGAAGAGGGAATCTTCTCACCCCAGCATGGGTTGAGAAGCATCACCCCACCACTCTTGAGGGGGGAATGAGGCCACACGACCATAGACTGAAACTTGAGCCAAAATTAGCCTCTGGGGTCTGGAGACTTAGCTCAGGTAGAATGCTCGCTTAGTAAGCTGGAAACCCTGGGTTCAGTACTGGGCACCAAAACCAAAAAATAAACCTCAACTAAAGAGCAAAAAACACAAAATGAGCCTCTGCTCTTCTGAAGTTGTTTGTCTGAGCCAGGCCTGGTGGCGTGTGCTCCTGTAAACCTAGCACCCTGAAAGGCTGAGGCTGGAGAGTTGAATATTTGAGCCCAACCTGGCAATTTAGCAAGACACTGTGCCAAAAGTAAAAATTTAAAAGGGGCTAGGGATGTAGCTACAAGGTCCTGAGATCCAGCCCCAGTACTGAAAGAAAAAAAGATTGTCTCAAGCATTTGTCAGAGCTACAGAAAGCAAGCACACACAGGGACGTCCACTCCCAGCAAAGCTGCCTGTCACTCTTGCTCCCCAGAGTGGACACATGAAGAACGCAGTCTGGAGCCAACTCTTACCTTTACCACATGGTTTTCTCTGAATAATATCATGTGCACAGCTTGGTCAATGTCTTCTCTAGCTAATACCTAAAATCACAGATCGAATGTTAGGATACCAATCCTGAAGAATCAAATCAGAATGACCCATCTCAGTGCATGTTACCAATAGTTTATGTAAATCTAATGTCTATCTCACAGCATATAATGTAGTTTTTTCTTTTAATAGACATTATCAAAAACCATTCCCACCCCCCAGCTTGCCCTGCCAGCCCTGTCCCTGGTACACGCTGAGACTAGGTGTCATTTGTGGAACTGAGCTACAGCTATTTCTTTGAAATTCACCCTGTAGACTCAGGTGGAATCATGACTCATAAGGTGGAAAACAAGTCCATTTGTAGGGTGTGCTGATGGAAATATTCTGCTGCTGAACACAAAAGAATAACTGAAAGACTACTACTGTATACCTCTTATTCTCCTCTGTTTAATTGTTTGCCCTATTTGGCGGGTTCTTTCCATTCTCATTCATGGGCTGTGATCAATTTGCTCCCTCTCTAGAACATCATTTAGTAGTCTGTGTAGGCTTGGCTTTCAAATACATAAAATTAAAACAAAACAAAACAAAGCTAGTACCTAGAATAAGATCTACTATTACTTAAAACAATGATCTCATTGAAAATTGATACAGGTTCTGAGACCTTGTTTTTCACTTTCTTCCCATCAGTGTCTCTTTTAATATCATTACATGAAAACTCTTTTGAGGCGGTTGGGAACAGGGTCTCTTTATGTAGCCCAGGCTGGCCTCAAGCTCACCATAATCCTCCTGCCTCCGCCTTTCCAGTGTGGAATTACAAGTACACATCACTATACTTGGTGTGAAATCCAAAATGATACTCAAATAGTTGAGTTTCAAAATATTCTTTGCAATATAACCAGAATGTCACTTTAAAGATAATTTAGACTTATTTTGAGACAGCAACTAAAGAAGTCTATAAAGCAAAAAGTATGTTTCCCTGAAACCAAACTATAGTTAGAATCAACCACTGTACTTATACAGGTAAAAGAACACAAGTTGCTAAGTATCTTCCGTAATCATTTCTTTTAGCCACCCAATGAAGTGTAGGAGCAAACCTCGGATACAGTCTTAGCTGTGTGTCAGATTTTTCAAGAAAGAAACCGTTTTTAGAAACTGGTTTTTGTCTGAGGCAGGACGACTGCAGCGAGCTTGCAGCTACATAGAGTTTAGGGTCAGCCTGAACGACAGACACAGCTAGATCCTGTCTCAGAGAAGCCAAGAGACCGTTTCTGTCCCTGCTGGCCCCTTCCCCGAAGTTTTACAGTAAAGAAAACGTTCATGAACTGTGTGGCCATGAAAGCAGTCTCACTACACCTATTTCCAGCACAGCAAAAAAGGATGAAATAAAGAAAATTTCCGAAAGCTTTTCTTTGCCCATCACAGGGCCCCACCAAACTCGCTGGGGAGCAACGGCCAGCGGCCCCAGGGGACCCAAGGGATACCAGTCCGCAGCCAGACCCGGCCCCACCCCACCCCCACCCGAGCGGCCTCACCTCCATGCGGGACGCGGACGCGGGGCCCGGCCAGGCCTTCATCTTATCCGGGCCGGAGCATTGGCAGCAGCTGGAGGCCCTCGCTGCAGTCATGGCGAGAGAAGAGCCGCGCGAGGGAGAGAAACTGAGGCACCGGCGGGGTCGGGTGGGGGTGGGGAGCGGTCCGCGTGCGCTGTGGCTGCTGTCGCGTGGGCAATTTGGTTTTATTGTTTTGTTTAGGACTTTGGGCAGGCAAAAGAGAAGTGTATTCCTCCTAATAACTTGAAGTCTAGGAATTTGTGATGCCCTCTGCTTTGCTCTCATTGTCAAGGACTGTTTTTTGCTGTTCTGGGTGTGTTCTGCTTCCATTTCTATTTTAGGATTGTTTTCTCTAGTTCTGCGAAGAATGCACAAACAATGGGTTGGTTTTTGTTTTGCTTTAAACAATTTATTTAACTGAAATGGACTTCTATTTGTTTAACTGAAGTGACTTCCATTTATCTTGATACATCTTTTCTCCATAGTGATGCAGGCTCTTCAAGCCAATATAAATATTTCATAAATATTTGTACATTTGAGCATACACCTGCACAATACCTCAGCAATATCTTTCAGCAAGAAAAACACTAAAGAGTAAAGACTAGACATAATTACTAGGAACAATGGAAATCTACTCCCAGTATTTCTGAAGCAAAAAGACATCACACATCTGTTCAACTAAGAAAACCATCCTTACAACACAGGATGATTTTTTATTTTCAAGTAGGACCTAGAACATTTAGCTGCCAATTTAGGTGCTGAGCATAGGTGCCGAGTGGCAGAGCTCCATCCCCAGCTTAGTCCATGAATTCACAGGAAATAGGTTCCAACCATTCAGGCTCCTTCCCATTGGTTCTCACAAAGAATGCTTCTCTGGGTGGGGCAGGCTGGTGCTTCAGTTGAACCCAGGTACCTTTCTCTTTGGCTTCCTTCTTTTTCTGATCATTTTCCTTGACACATTTCAGGAAGCTATGGTGACTCTTTGAGTTTAATATGCTCAATACCCACATTAATCTTCTTGGTAAGTATCTCAGCTTGGCTTGTTTACAATGCCAACAGCATGCTGGGTAACAGTGTAGACTCTTCCTTTTTTGCCATGGCAATTTTTGGGTAGCATTCCTTTTTGCACAGTACCCCTTCCCTTGATGTCTACAGCAGCATCCTTCTTGTATGTGGCCAAAGGAACAACCCCATGTTTTCTAAAAGGACTACAGAACATTTTACCAGGTTCCCTTCCTTTTGCCCTTTTTGTTGGCCATTTGGGCAAATTACTAGAAGATGGCAGTTCTGGCTAAAAGATTGTTGGTATTTTAACTAGGATTCCATTAAGTGTGTTTATCAGTTTGGGAAATATGGCCATTTTGACTATATTGGTTCTGCTTAAGTAGGAATAAGCACTATCTTTCCGTTTTCGTTTTTTAATGAATTTTAGGACAGGGCCTACCAGGTATACAGGGCCTCACTACATCCCACTCATAGTCATTTTCCTGTTTTCAGCCTCCATGCCCAGTCTCAGCACGTCCCCAGGGCGGGACCCACGCTGCACGCTGGGGATCATACCCCAACCACTGCGCTCTACCTAAGCAGCTGCTTTAGTCGCTGAACTGTCTGGCCGGCCCTTTTCATTTTCTGATATCCTCTTCAATCTTCTTTTTCAGAGCATTGCAATTTTTTGTTGTAGTTTTTCACTTCTTTTTTTTAGGTTAATCCCTAAGTATTGCATTTTTCGTGATGCTATTGCTAATTGTATTGTTTTTCTCAGTGAATTAATTACTGATATGAAAATTGTTGAATTATTGTTGATTTTGTATCCTGCTGCGCTATTGGATATGTTGGGGGTTTTTTTTTGGGGGGGTGGTTGTTTGTGTAACAGGAATTGAACTCAGGACATTGTGCTTGTCAGGCAGGGGCCATGCCACTAAGCTATATCCCCAACCCCTGAATACATTTAATTTGTGATTCTTTCAGTAGAATTTTTGGAAACATCTATGTAGAGTATCATATAATGTGAATAATTAAATAGTTTTATTTGTTCATTTTCTGTACATATCCTGTTTCTTTCTTTAGCCTGATTGCTCTGGCTAATGTTTCAAGTACCATACTGAACAGAAGTGGTGACTGTGGAGATCCTTTGTCTTCTGATTTTAGATGGAAAGCATTCAGCTTTTCACCATTTAATATGATGTTGGCAGATTTGTGATAAATGGCTTCTACCAAAGTGAGATAAGGTCCATCTGTACCTATTTTCTTTGGGGTTTTTATAATCATAAATGGATACTGGATATTGTTGTAAAGGGTTAATGTAAAAATAATGTGATGAGTTAATGTAAAACTAAATATAAAAAATTACTCTGCTCACCTTTCTGTGGCCCTGCTTCCTGGTAAGACTGCAAAGAGGCTTGGTGTGCCATTGATAAATCATCAGTAGACTGAGAGTTCCCAGAAAACGATGTTCCCCCGCAAAAAAAATGTATGCTGAGTAACGGTCACACTGTCCCTAAAGGTACTGTTCTGTGTTAAATGTCAAACTTGTTTGCCAAACAGGATGCAGTTTCTACCTTTAAAACCTCTATACTTCTAAGGTTCCTGGCTGTTTGTCCTCTCCTGTGGGAGTATGGTCAAGCAGTCCAAGGCCTGGTAATAAAAGGCCCATATTTAAATTTTAATTTGGACTCAGATCTGGTTTCTGTGTTGAGAACTCATAACAATTGTCAGATGTTTTGAGATAATCATGTGATATCTGTCCTACCTTTTGTTTTTTTTGTTTGCTTGCTTATTTCTTTTTTTTTTTTTTAATATTTATTATTTATTTATTTATTTAGTGTGTGTGTGGCCAGCTCAGCCCACCAGGGGGCGGGGCTGGCTGGCATGTGGTGCTGGGGGATTGAACCACGGTCCCTGTGCTTTGCTTAGCTTAGCTTGTTCTAAGTAGGTGCTTTAGACCACTGAGCCATCTCACCAGCCCTGTTTTATTTCTGAGACAGAGTGTCCGCATGTAGTTCAGGCTGACCTTGAACTCACTATATAGCCCAGGTTGATCTCAAACTCAGGACGATTTTCCTGCCTTAATCTTCCAAGTGCTGTGTTACAGCCATGTGCCACCATGTCCAGTGTCTTTGCTTCTGTTTATATGATGTATTAACTTTATTGATTTGCACATGTGGAATTACCCTTGTATTCCTGGGATGAAATCTTCTTGGTCATAATGTATAATCTCGATGATTTGTTTCATTGTGTGGGCCAGTGTCTTGTTGATTTTTGCACCTATTTTCATTAAAGAGATTGGCCTGAAATTCTCTTTTTCTACTTTGATCCTTGCCTGGGTTTAGAATCAGGATATTCTTGCTTCCAGAAAAGATTTTAGGATACTCTTCCCTTTCAATTTCATTAGTCTGAGAAGTACTGATGTTAGGTCTTCCTTTGGTTCTTGTATAATTCAGCAACTCGTCAGATCCTGGGCTTTTCTTAGTTGATATTTTTTAAAATTACTATTACAAGAGGCTGGGGAGATAGCCCAGTAGAATAAGTGCCTGCCTGGCAAGTGCAGGGTCCTGAGTTCTGCAAAAACAAAAAACAAACAAACAAATGACTGTTTACTACTTCCATTTAATTGCCTGTTATTAGGTTAGAATCGTTTTTTTTGTTTGTTTGTTTGTTTGTTTGTTTTTAATGTATTTACTACAGGGTCTACAGGGTCTCACTACACAGATTGAATTTGTAGTGATTCTTCCTGTTTTTCAGTCTCCCAAGTGCAGAGATTACAGGTGCGTGCCACCACGCCCAGGCTCCATCCTTGTCTCAGGAGTCGGGGGCAGGGCCAGCATGTCAGGCCAGGGATCAAACCCCCAGCCCCTGCATCTGCCTAAGCAGTGCTTTAATCCACTGAGCTATCTAGCTGGTTCTTAGAATCTTCTTGATTTTTTTTTTTTTTTTTTTTTTTTTTTTTTTTTTTTTTTTGTGGAACCGGGGATTGAACTCAGGCCCTTGCGCTTGCCAGGGAAGCACTTAATCTACTGAGCTATCTCCCTGGCCCTTTATTATCCTTTTGATACAGGGTCTCACTACATAGTTCGGGCTCATAGTGATCCTCCTGTCTCAGCTTCCCCAGTGTAGGGATTATAGGCATGCACCACCACACCTGGCTTGGGGGCCAGCATGGCAGGCAGTACCGGGGATTGAATTCAGGACCTTCTGCTTGCCAGGCAGGCCCTTGGACTGCTCAGTCACCTTGATTCTATTTTGATAACTCATATGCATATAAGAATTTATCCATTTTGGGGGCCAGAGAGATGGTTCAGTGGATTAAGCACTTCCCTGGCAAGTGCAAGGGCCTGAGTTCAATCCCTGGTTCTGCCAAAAAAAGAAAAAAAAAAAAAAGAAGAAGAATTTATCCATTTCTAAGGCTGGCGAGATAGCTCAGCAGTCTAAAGCACCTGCTTAGGCAAGCTTAGGCAACCACAGGAACCATGGTTCGCTCCCCAGCACCACATGCTGCACCAGTCCTGCCCCCAGGGCAGGCTGAGCCAGCCACACACACACACAAAAAAAAGAATTTATCCATTTCTTAGGCACTCTCCACTTTATTTTGGACTCCAATTATTTTCTATGGATTTTCCAACTTATTATATAGAGTTTCAAAGTAATCACTAATTCTTTCAAAGTAGTTATAATAACCTGGATGTCAGTGATATCCCTTGTGATTTTACCTTTTTCCATTTCTAACTGTGTTGATTTGCATCTTTCCTTTTCTGGGAAGACTGACTAAATATTTGTTTATTTTGTTTATTCTTTAAAAGAACCAGCTCTTTGCTTCATTGGTTCTTTGTATTTTTAGCCTCAAGTCTATTAATTCCTGGTCTAAAAATTTCTTAATAATTACATTGTAAGTGGGATAGACAGACTGAAGAATTCAGAAAACTCCCCGATTTTTAAGTCCCATGGGGTCCCTTTTGCCTTAAGGAAAATAAAATTCTGTTCCTTATGCTGTGTCCTAGGACTGAAATGCAACATGAGCTAGAGGGTGAAGTCTGGGATAAGAAACAGAAAGTGAACAAACAGACCCAAAATGAATTTGTAATGTGCAGCATTGGTAGTTCAGCGGTAGAATTCTCGCCTGCCAAAATGAATTCATAAATTTTCTGAAGAATCTTAGAAAAGCTTGAGGAGGATATGTGGATGTGGATTTGAAGGGTGCCTGACCAAACGGAAGCATGCCTTAACTTAGGAACAAATCAAAGGAACGCAGACAGGCACTCAGTAAGATGGCTATTATTTTTATTGAACTTCTCAGCAATATTTTTTAACTTCTAAAGAAAATACGTTTGTGGTAAATGTCAATACATGGTATTGCTATTTTCTAACTAGCACAGGCACTAGACTCAAGAACTAAATGGTTTACTGAAGATGGTGTTTCTTAGAGACGGAACACTTCCTGAGTGCCTTCTCAGCCCTACCCTGAATGATTCCTGCTAGCAGGATCACTTCCCTGGAAGCAGCCTTCTTTTGGGTCCCCTTTCACAGGGAAGATATCAGGATATATGGTCCTTGCTTGCGGAAACCTTTTGAAAGTGACAAAACAGAAGAGTTGAATGTGACGTCAGAACAGATACACGCAAGAGCAGAAAGAATTCTCCAGCTAAGCTGAGCTGATTTCTGAAGCCTGGGTCTGTCCCAGCTGAGTGGCTCATCTCGAGGGCTGCTTCTCTGCCTAAACTTCCTGCCTCAATCTTTCCTCACCATCTAGACCCAGGGACACCAAAAATTCAGGGATGGAGCCAGCCTTGTTGTGGACGGAGTAGATCACTGTGTAGTCTGACTAGAGGGACCCCTATGACCCTGCTTCCAGATGTCAGTACATTGTATTTGGAGTACTAATTTATATTTGGATCACTGCAATCTAGAGTGTACTGGATTCCTTTCTTCCTTTTCTCTTCAAACTCCTACATCTCTCTTCCCCTCACTATCAGCTTTTTTCACTTCATTGAAAAAGTGAAGTAAACAACTTTCTTCATAAAATTCACCAAGTGGCTTCCTCTATATCCATGTCCTCAGCCTTCCCTCCTCCTACCACGCACAGGTTGTCCTGCCCTGCATTTGAGTCCTGGACCCCAGCCCTCCCTTCCTGAAGGACTCTGCCATCACCCTGCATCATCTGGTTTCTCATCCTACTGATCCACCTCACTGGTTACAGTCTCTAGCAGCTGAGAAAAGCCTTCCCTTGCCCCTGCCTGCTCCAGCCTCCTCCTGTCTTGCTACTTCTTCATAGCAAAGTCCCATAAAGGGGCCGCCTATTCTGTCTCTAGTACTCACCGCATTCTCTCTGGAGCCTGTTGTAATCAGGCTTTCACTCCAAGTGAAAAGGCTCCACAGTCTTGGTTGCTGAGAATTACTGCTTACTCTATAAATCTTGCTGAAAACATGGAAAATGGCCAGCCTTTATTTTGCTTTGCTTACTCTCTCACCAGCACTGGGATGTGGTTAATCATAACTATTTTTTTTTTCTGTACCAGGGATCAGGCTGAGGACCTTGTGCTTGCCAGGTAGGCACTTATGCCACTGAGCTATCACCCCAGTGATCATAATCTTTTGATTGAAGTCCTACATTTACTAGGTTTCTATAATACCTTGTGCCTTTGTTATTGTTTTCCTCTGAGACAGGGTCTCACTATGCAGTTCAGCCTGGCCTTGGGCTCATTTTGTAGCCCAGGCTGGTTTCAAACTGACAAGAATCCTCCTGCCTCAGCCTCCTAACTGTGAGGGTATCAGCAGTGGCACCACGCTCAGCTTGTTGTTGTCTTGGACTGAAGAGCAAACCCGCTGTCCTCTGGCCCAAGCAGCACCTGCAGCGCTTTTATGTTCTTTCATCCTGAGGGTGGGTGCTGCTGAGTGGCCCAGGCAGAACTTGAACTTGTAATGCCCCTGCCTCAGCCTCCCAAGTGCTGAGATTGCTCTCGTGCTTTCCTTCTTTCCTCCCTTCCCAGCCGTTCCCCTCTTTCACATTCCCTTGCTGGCTCTGCCTGTTCGACAGCCTCTCTCGGAGCTCCCAGGACCAGCACCCAGCCCTCCTGATACTCTCACTCCTGTCTTTAACCTGCATCTACGCAAGGATGACTGAGATGCACAGCTCAACCCCAGTCCCTCCCTCACCCCGCCCCCCGTGCACCCACAGATGGCTACATCCACCTGCACACATATGCTGGTCTGCGGGTCAGGATCTCTTAGTCAGCAGATAGTAAGCGCCAAAGCCAGCACTGCAGAGCACTCTCCAGGACTTGCAAAGAGGAGGTCAAACTGCAAACTGATTTCTAACCACTCCTTTATGTAGGGGTATAAAAATGTTGGGAGTGTAGCTCAGGAGTTAAAGCACCTGCCTGGCAAGCACAAGGACCTGGGATTGATCCCCAGCACTGCATGCCATGCCAGCTCCACTCGAACCAGTCAACTGGGTGTGGTGGCACATGCCTATAATCCAAACGCTGGGGAGGCTGAAAACAGGAGGATCATAAGTCCGAGCTGTGTAGTGAGACCCTGGGCATGAAAAATAAATAAATGAATAAATAAAATGAATGGACAGTGAAGAAAACATTAAGCTGCTTTATAATCACACCCTACAAATGCTCCTGGTGTGTTGTTATGGAGACAAGAATCTTGAATTTAGCTCTGAAAGTTTATTCCTTACTTTTGCACTTTCCTCACTCCCTGAATTCATCTCACACTTCTCTAATGGATGAATAGAACCATAATCCAGAGAGGCCTCTCAGCACAGAAATCTGAGAGCCGAGTCGCCTTGGATTCCGCTGTCAAATCTGAGCGGGCTCTGGCGGCTCACTGACTTTTCGCTCCCACACCCTGGCTCAGCCCGTGCTCTCACCTGGGCTAGCACTCTGGCCTCCTGACTGCTCTCTTGCCTCTGCGCCGGCTGCTGTATGGTCTGTTCTAAGGCAGCCATGTTCTCTTTCCAAAATGTTATTTAGAGCCTATTTCTCTTACTTTAAACCTTTAAATAAGCCAGGCATGATCTCATACACACCTGAAATCCAGCACTCAGAAGGCTGAGCAGTAAAATCACAAGTTTGAAGCTAGCCTGGGCTACAAAATGAGACCCCCATCTCAGAAACATGTTCAAATGGCTTCCTCCCACATCGTACTCTATTCCAGCTTTTTTGGGGGAAGTACCTGGGATCAAACTCAGGACTTTGTGCTTGCTAGACAGGCACTTATGCCCCTGAGCTATCTCCCTGGCCCCTATTATCCCAGCTTTTTATCATGGCCTCTGACCCCACTGGACTAAGCCCCTGCCTCCTTCCGGCTGCCTGTCATTCTACACCCACCACGCTCCTGGCTTTTTCTTGCCATTTCTTGAACACACCAACCCCGCTCCCTATGACATTCTTCCCAAGACTCTCCACCTCGCCTCCTCACCAACTCCTTGGTGAGTGCACAAATGTCACCTTTTCAGAGACACCTTCTGACATCTTCCTTCACAATAGGCCTCTCCTGTGCCCCCCATGCTGCCGTCCTCTCTGTCTATTCTGCTTGTCCCCCTGCTTACCCCTAAACATCAAGACGTTATATCTTTGTTGTTTAATTACTGTCTTCCCCATTCACACAGAAGCGTCACAAGACCAGAGACATGTCTGTTTTTTGTTCACCACAGTATCTCCAGGCCCTCAAATCCTGGCTCAGAGCAGGTGCTTGTTACATTTTTGAGGAAACAAGCAAGCACAATGGGAGGAGGTTTACTGTCTCTTCATGAGTGAGTACAAAATCCTTTCAGGGCAGGAGCAGGGAAATGGAGCAACAAGAAGGCAGGCAGATGGACAGACTCACTGTGGACTCAAAATGCTGGTCCTTCACATATTCCTGTCTACCTGGGAGGTGGGAGGGGACACGAAGTTGTGACTTCTCCAGAGCCACTGCTAAGGGGCTGTCTCCAGAGCATTGGGACTCAGAAGTCCACCACGTTTTGACTATAGATGAGAAATCTGGGCTCTGTGGACACCTATATTCCTATGCATTTTACATTTGGGGCTTCTACTTCTTAAATTTCTTTCTTTAATTTAGTATTGGTCATATTAGTTTGGTTTGTTATTTTCAGACAGATCTTGCTATGTATTTCAGGCTGGCCTTGAATTCACTGTGTAGCCCAGGCTGGCCTAGGAGTCACAATGATACCTCCTGCCTTAACTTCTTTACTGCTAGAATTACAGGCATGTGCCGTATGCCCGGCCCAGTACTAGTCCTTTTAAAAAAGAAATTTTTTGAGGCAGGATCTCCCTATGCAGTTCAGGCTGGCCTTGCACTCACTATGTAGTCCAGGCTGACTTCAAACTTGCAGCGATATTCCTGTCCCAGCCTCCTAAGTGCTGGGATTACAGTCATGTGCCACCATGACCTACTGTCTTGACTAAATTAAAAGGAAGAAACTTTTGGGCCTGGCTTGGATATAGGTGGCAAATGGAGAGATGATAGAAAGATGGTGAAAACAGTAGCCCGAGAGATCCTAGATAACACAGGCCACCCACCCAAGGGCACGGCTGTGCTCTCTCCATCCCCTCTGAAGACAGGACACCTGCAGGAGGGCTCTGCTGCCTTCCTTCACCTCAGAAGCCTACAGAGCCAACCAGTTCCCAGCGGCTGAAACTGCGGTGTCCCCACTGCTGCCCTGACCGTGCCCCAGCTCTCACCTTGACCTGGATTTCAGCCCTTTCTCCTCCCTGCTGAGGTCCAGTGAAGACAAGTACTGTGCAGAGCTGGCCTCTTTAGGACTTGGGTTCTTTCCCTCCTGATAACAGAGCAGTTCTTCCTCCAGAAAGAATAGCCCTTTGTTTCTGTAGGGGGAAAAAAAAAAAGAGAGAGAGAAAGGAAGGAATTCCTTAACTCTCCACTCAACTGCAGTACTTAATATTTATATTTAAATATCATTTAAATATTTTATTTAAATTTGAAATTAATGAACTATAAATTACATGTTTTAATTTAAAAAAACACTCCAAATTAATAGAATTACACTGCTCTTACATTATTTTTCTATTAGTGTATATTTGAAAGACATAGCAACATTCATCTTGGGGAACTGTTAGATGCACATATGACATGATTTTAACCTGAAGTCTCTTTGCCACCCACTCAGCAAAGGGAAGTGAATGAAGCCCTCCAGGAGCCGTCCAGTTTAGGACTGACCCCCAGATAGCTCAGCAGACTAAAGCGCCTGCTTAGGCAGAGTGCAGTGGCCAGCATTCAATCCCCAGCGTGCCATGTCGGCCCCGCCTCTGGGGCACGCTGAGATGGTGAATAAGACTGGGCATTGTGCTGTGTGCCTGTAATCCCAGCACTTGGGAGACTGAAAACAGAAGAATCACTATGAGTCCAATCTGCATAGTGAGACCCTGTAGACCCTGTACTAAATACAAAAAAAAGTTATCTGAGGACAAAAACTCTCCTTTTATACCATTTATAGAAATTAGGATGAAAATACTGATTATCCTTAAATTCTTACCCAAAAATGTTTGTTCTTTTTAAGACCACAGCAGTTAGGGACTGCAAAAGAAATTACTCTTTTGACCCTAAAATATACAGCTAATTCTGAATTGTTCTATCTCTTCAGGCCTTTGGGTGCCAAGTGAATAGAGCTTAGTTTTGGTACTTCCTTCTGTCCCCCAATTCCAGCTCCTGTTCAATGAATATAGTAGCATACTGCTGAAGTACTGTTCGAGATCACTGAGGCGTCCACAGTGGCCAGCTCCTATCTCTAACAGCATCTGTTTCTGCTTTTCATTTTTATTTATCTTGCTATATCGTCCAGGCTGGTCACAAACTTCCGAGCACAAGCAATCCTCTTGCCTCAGCCTCCCAAAGGCTGGGATTACAGGAGTGTAACACATTGAGCACATTAGGTTCTTTTTATTGGTATTAATAGCCTCACTGAGATATAATTTACATATCACAAAATTAACTATTTATTTATTTATTTAAATTTAATGTATTTGGCTGTTGCAGGGTCTCACTACACAGCTCAGACTCATGGTGATCCTCCTGCTTCCAGCCTCCCCAGCACTAGGATTACAGGCATGCACCATTATGCCCGGAGATCTGCAGTCCCTGCACTTGCCTAAGCAGGCGCTTTAGTCCATTAAGCTATCTCACCAGCACCAAAATTAAGCCATTTTAAGTGCACAAGTCAACAGTTTTGATCCTGTTTACAGAACTGTAGACTCATCACTCATTCTAATTTTAGAACATTTTCATCAGCCTCCAAACCTCCTGCTTATTCACAGTGACTCACAGCTTAGGTAACCACTGCCTAGCTTCTGTCTCAACAGATTTGCTTCCTGGACATTTCAAATAAAGGAAATCATTCAATATATGGTTATTTGTGATTGGCTTCCTTCACTGAACATAATGGTTTTAAACTTACCCATATGGTAACATAAATTAGTACTTTTTTACTCTTTTTTTTTTTTTTTTTTTTTTTTGTACCAGCAATCAAATTCATGGTCCTGCATTTGCCAAGCATGCAGAGTGCCACTGAACTATATCCCCAATCCTTTCTTTTCTTTTTTTTTTCTCTTTTTGAGACAGGATCTCGCTACATAGTTCAGGCTAGCCTTGAGCTCACCTTGTAGCTTAGCCTGATCTCGAACACAAAACTATCCTCCTGCCTCTGCCTCCTGAGTGCTGGCATTACAAGTGTGCATCACCATGCCCGGCTTCCAATCTTTTCTTTACTTTTATTTGCCAAATAATATTTCATTGTATGGATATACTACATGCTGTTTATCCATTCATCAGCTGATGAACAACTGCATTGTTTCTATTTTTTGACTACTGTGAATAATGCTGTTATAAACATTACTATATTTGCCTTAAGGTGGATCTGTTTTCATTTCTTTTGAATAGAAACATAGTAGATGAACTTGTGGGTCAAGTCATAATTTAACATTTTGAGAAATTGCTTTCTTTCAAACTTATTACATTTTGTACACTCCCTCCAACAATATCTGAGGAATCCCATTAGCTTTAAGCAAATCATGACAGATTACATAATTATGTAGAAATAACTTTTTTTTTAAAGGAAAAAACCTCTTATTTTTAATTCCATAACTAACTGAGATGACACCCCATGTTACATGCATAGTAGCATGTACCACTTCTCTGCTCATAGCACCTTTTCGCCCTGGGTACAATACTGTAACAGCTACTACCTACTTATCCCAAACTTAATTTATAATACTCCAATTCAACTAAAAATCAGTCTAAAATCAACTAAACTGTAACTCTACAATCAGCTGTCAACTACCTTTGCCCCCATGTATGTGCTTGTCATTTTTCTGCTACTTCTTCCTTAAAACCAGAAAAGCCTAAGGAAAGTTGTCACCTCACCCAGACTCAGTGGTGGGACCTGCCTGGTGTCACGGAGCCTGGGGAGGCCTTGGCATTTTGAGAGGATGACAGAGGATGGCAACACAGTCAAGCATCTTAGAAGAAAGGACAACAAACTGGAATAACTGGCTTACTTGCAGATAACTGTTTTTCCTGCTTCCTGGGGTTCCAGAAGACAAGGAGCTCTTGGCAAGGGTTTCAAATCAAAACTACTATCATTGAAATTCACTTTTACTTTTAACCTTTAAGGAGAGAACATATGTAAAGATGTTTTAAAAATAATACTATCTTCCATTTATGCAAAAATTATTATTATACCGAGATAAATAATATTGTTTTTGTTTTGTTTTTTCTGCAAATCACCTTTAAGTCAAAGCAATATACTTCTTGAATGAGATTAGTTGTTTATGAATTTTTGAAACCAAATAGAGATTGACTTATTACATTCACTGAAGACCAAGAATCAGCCAGGCAAAGTTTAAACCACTCTATACTCCAGAAGCTTATACCATAATGTTAAAAAAAAAAAAAAAGTCATAGACACTATGTCATTTATAAGCATAAATATACAATGTTTTTCCCAACAAAGAATGAAATATTCTATTTCCCCACTCCCCTTGCCAAAAAAGTGTCACAGATGCTTCAAGGCTGATGCCCATGCAAGAAACAACTGGAAAGGCAACTTCCAATTAACTGTGTAGGGCCTGCATTTAGCAATGTATAAATTTTTTTTTTTTTTTTTTTTTTGCAGAACCAGGGATTGAACTCAGACCCTTGCGCTTGCCAGGGAAGCGCTTATTCCACTGAGCCATCTCCCCAGCCCCCTAAAATATTTAAAGAGTTGGGAATATAGCTCAGCAGCACAGTGCCTGCCTGGAAAGTACAAGGTTCTGAGTTCAATTCCCAGTACAAAAAAAAAAAAAAAAAAAAAAAAAAAAGATAAAATAAAATAAGAAAAGAACCCAATCTTTAGCCTCTCTCCTGTGTGCGATGTGCCTTATCAGTATGACTGTATTTGCCAGATTATGCTAGAATTATCTATATAAATATCACCTAAATGGTATAACATTCTGTTATACTATGAGCTCTTTAAAGGCACTTACAGCCAAGGCATGGTGGCATACACTTATAATCCCAATTATTTAGGAAGAAGAGATAGGAAGATCACAAATTTGAGACCAGCCTGCACAACTTAGTAAGATTCTGTCTTAAAAAAAAAAATACACTCAATGCAAATTTTTAGATTGAATGAATTAACGTGATGTTATGGGGTAAATATCACATGTTGTTTATGTTCCCTCCAAAAGTTCAAGTACAAACTCCTGGATCTGTCAATATATTTTGGAAATATATCTATGAAATAATTTTGGAAAGAGGGTTTTAGACATGATGAAATTAAAATGAGGTACTACTGGGCAAAGATGGGCCCTAACCCTATACAGGCATCCTTTAAAGCAGCAGCAAATTTTGATACAGAACCTGTGATAGTAGAGGCAGAGACTGGAGTCAAGGCTGAAAGCCAGGAATGCCAAGGATTCCCGGCAACTAGCAGCAGCTGGGAAAAAAAGCAAGAGAGAACCCTATTGGAAAGCCTGCAGAGAGGGCAGGCTGGTGTCGCTAATACCTTGACTGTAGGTTTCCAGCCTCCAGGACTGTGAGAGAACACATTTCTGTTGTTTCAAGCTGCTCAGTTTGTGGTGCTTCGTTATTAAAGCCACAGGAAACTAAGACTTCTGATAATACCTCAAAGCTTTGGAGGGTTGGGGGTAATTCACTGGCACAGCACTTGCTTAGTATGTACGTATGAGGCCCTGGGTTCAATCCTCAGCTTTAAATTCCTCTCTGACTCATTTTTCTCCCTGACTCCCAAATCTAGAAATCCTTTGTTTCAGCACATCAGTCTCTCCATCCACTTTTCCACCACCCTGCCTGCAGCTCTCATCAACACAAATGTAGATTCTTGTCTCCTAAAAAGTCTTCAAACCAAGTGGCTCGTACCTCTCATCCTCTTATCCCAGCACTCTGGAAAGCTGAGGCAGGAGGGTGTCATGTTTGAGCCCAGCTTCGCAAACTTAGTGACTTAGCAAAGGTCTGTCTACAAATTAAAAACAAAATAAAAAGAATCTTCAGGAGCAGAGCATATAGCCCAGTTGTAGTGTGGGTTTCCCATGTCCAAGGCCCTGAATTCAACCTCCAGGCCCCAAAACAAAACAAAACAAGCAAACAAGAATTTTTCCTTCTTGATTATCCTCAGTGACACCCACCATGCTCCAAATGACAGAATCCCAGTTGTTTCACTGGCAATGAAGGCGCTTCACAGACTGGCTATAACCCAGGTTCCCAGGCTCAATCAATGGGACACAGGAACATAGAAGAGTATTAAGTTGGAAAGTAATGTAATCTACTACTGAAGTTCACCCTGGGAAAGCCATACAGCATGAAAGTGTAGTACTATACTTTACAATGCAGGCTATGGACTCAGACCTGAACTGAATCTGCGACTGCTACTTTATGGCTATAAGTAAGTGGTTTTCAACCCAATGCACACTGGAACCATCTGAATACTGAGGTTTAGCTCCCACCCTAAGGGTCTAATTTCATTTGTCTAGGAATGACCAGGATTTCATGTTTGTTTGTTTTTAATGTATTTGGCTGTGGTAGGATCTTACTACACAGCCCCCTCCTGCTTTCAGCCTCCCTAGCGCTGGGATTATAGGAGTACACCACCATGCAGCACTCTGGCCAGCTCAACCTGCCCTAGGGGCAGGGCTGGCATGGCATGTGGTACCAGGAATCAAACAGTGGTTCCGAAGCTTGCCTAAGCAGGTGCTTAGTCTGCTGAGCTATGTCACTGGCTCCTTCATTATTTTCTTTAAAGTCCTCAATTATTCTAATATAAAACCAAACTGAAGGGGCTGGGGAGATAGCTCAGTAGAATAAGCATTTGCCTGGCAAGCGCAAGGGCCTGAGTTCAATCCCTGGTTCCGCCAAAAATAAAAATAAATAAATAAATAAAACCAAACTGACAAATACTGCTATAAAATTGACAAGGTTTGCCATGCCAGCCCCACCCCTTGGATATGCTGAGGTGGTAACTGAGACTGGGCATGGTGGCATGTGCCTGTAATCCCAGCACTTGGGAGGCTATAAACAGGAGGATCCACAGCAAGTACAATCTATGCAGTGAGGCCTTGAAGACCCTGTAGATCCTATCCTAAATTAAAAAAAAAAAAAAAAAAATGACCAGGTTTATAAGTTATCTGAGTAACAGAACATTCCAAAATAAATTTCTACAAGCCACATGGGGTGACACATGCCTGTAAGCCCAGCACCAAGGAACCTGAGGCAGGAGGACTGCTATGAGTTTGAGGCCAGCCTGGGCTATACAGTGAGCTCAAGTCCAGCTTGAACTACAAAGTGAGACCCTGTTTAAAAAATAAAAAGAAAAAAAAATCAAAAGGGGAAAAGAAAAAAGAAAAATTTATACAAAGAATAAGTTTTTAAAAAGTAAATAAATTAGCATATGTAAAAAAACTTTTAACAATGCCTGGTACACAGTGGGTCATAAATTAGCACTGATATTATAGATTAGTAATAAGAACAGGAATTTCATTGACAGGATTTTTTTTTTTTTTTTTTCAGAACCAGGGACTGAACTCAGGCCCTTGCACTTGCCGGGGAAGCTCTTATTCCACTGAGGATCTCCCCGGCTGGATTAGACAAAGGTAAAGAATGCTGGAGAGTACTGGAGAGACAATGAAAAATCCTGATGTTTCCTATAACAAGGAACCGAAGAGAAGCAAGTTTAGATGGAGAAGACGACTTACACTGTATGATCCATTAATACAAGATCCTGGAATGCATGTGCAGAACAGTTCCCAAATGCATGGGGAGCAGGTTTTCAGCAGGATAGCCTACGCCTGAAATCAGCCTGAGACACGAGATCCCAGCACCGCTTCTCAGGACCTGTATGTGGAAGTTCTCATGGTTTCTTTGAGATTTGAACAGTATAAAAAGACACAGATGCCAAGAAGAACTTGTGACTTTCTTCATAGTAACCTGTCCTGCTTTTTCCAGGGTGTCCTTTTATTGCTTTTTCTCCTTTTACTTTGCCCAAGTTCACTCTGCTGAGCCAGTTTCTCGCTCACTTTTTTCACTTTTACTTTCTTAAATAAACTTGGCCACTCCTTTTTGCTCTTTTTTTTTTTTTTTTTTTTTGTTGAATGCTTTGTTCCAGATAAGAAACAGGAATGCAACTCCAGAGGGAGAGGCGAGCAACCCAGAACCTGATAACACTAACTGGTGGGCCACTTTTAAAGGAACTATCTAAGAACAGCATGAGTAGCATCTCTTCAAGCACAAGGCCAAGCAGCCTACGCTGGAGGTATTTAGGCTTGTAATGCACTAAATACAACAACAGCAATAAAAATACCCAAACTCAATGTGGTGGCATCGAGTAATCCTAGCACTTAGGAGACTGAGACAGGAGGATTGCAAGTTGAAGGTAAGCCTGGAGTACATACTGAATCCTGTACCAAACTGCCCCATCCCAAAACCAAACTTAGCAGCTTCTGACTAGAAAAATCCAATCTTCCACACTAATGCTGCACAGAAGACACTGCCCATTTCTGGAGAAAAATAGTCTATCTAAACTATTCCTTCACCTCAAATGACTGGCAATAAAACATCACAAGCTGTTAAAAAATATAAAACATAACCTATGGTCAAGAGGCAGAGCAATCCACAGAACCAGACTCAGAAATGATCCTACGGCCGGGGAGATAGCTCAGTAGAATAAGCGCTTGCCTGGCAAGCGCAAGGGCCTGAGTTCAGTCCCCAGTTCGGGGAGATAGCTCAGTAGAATAAGCACTTGCCTGGCAAGCGCAAGGGCCTGAGTTCAGTCCCCAGTTCTAAAAAAAAAAAAAAAAAAAAAAAATCAATAAATAAAATACATGATCCTAATATTGGCACTATCAGATATGGAATTTAAAATAGCTATCACTGTTACAGTTTAGTTTTTAAAATCCAGCAAAAGGTAGACAACACACATTAACTGATAAAGAAGTTCAGGAAAAATGACCACTTTACAGAAAAACTCAAGTAGAAACACTGGAAATAAAAATAATGATATTTAGAGATGAATTATTCCTTTCTAGGCTCCTCTATATATAGGGTACAGTTAAGAAAAGACTTGGAGGACTACAGCTAGCTAAGTAGAAATCATCTAACCAACTACAAACAGAAAAAAGGTAAGTTCTTTTTAAAAAGGGATAGCCAGGCATGGTAGTACATATCTGTAATCCTAGCATTCTTGCAGGCTGAGGTAAGAGTGTTACACGTTTGGGTCCAGCCTGGGCAATTTAGTGACTTAAAAAGACCCTGTCTCTTATGGGCTACTGGACTCTTTTAGAATATTTTGCTGAGTTTACACACCTATAATATTCAATAACGGAACTTAGAAAAAATGGGGTATACCGATGA